TGCTTCGATTTCCAGCCCCTGGAGCGAGCTTTCAATGTTTATTGTGGTCCCTTGTACTCTTGTGAAGGAATGGAAGATGAATGGTCACATCACTTTGTACCTCTATTTATAGTACAAGGTTGGGGGACCGGCCTAGGTTTTGTTAACTGTAGTTACTGAATCTAACCCATGTTTAAGCAGACCGTCGTTATTGTTTGAGTTGGGCTTCTATTGCTTACGGGCCGCAGAATCTATTGGGCCATAGGTCCACGCCCAACAGTAGCCCCCCCAATCATCGAACTAAGATGAGTCGAGCTTTGCTACTTACGTGTTTTAGGCCCGAACAAAATTTCAGGGAAATTATGGAAGCCAAAGGAAGACCTTCAAAGCAACCCAAACATTTATGGTACACATGTTTTCCCTTGTCGCCGTATTTTGTAAGCACTTCGTGTTCGAAACCGTACATAGATGTACAATATTTCGATTCATGATTACCACGAAGAAGGAAGATTCGGTATGGCATCAAAACCTAAACATCCAAAAGATATAAGCTTTAGGAAAATTCGAGGAGATTCAACATAAGCATAGACCAGGACAAGAGGACGAGGAAAGTCTCGAGCCCCCCAAGCACCACGATCCACCTCAATGACACACTAAGGATTAGACCACTAGACTAACAACCACTTATTTTTTGGAAGGTGGTCGAGAAAATAGATATTAATTGTGGATATGAGAAAGAACGTGCTGAAATTGAATGAAAAACGTGAAGAGAAAATTTATTATTCTGCAAAATCTCGATTGTGTTACGTGAGAAAGGATATGATTTTCCATGCGAACGTCTTATAACCAAATTTTGAATTGGATTTACAATAGATGTTAACATGTGAATGTGTATACCAAAATTTCACGTTATTGTAAATATTCATAGTAAATTATAAAGTAAAGAAAATAAAGCTTATGAGTGATGTCATTTTTGAATAATTGTCTCAATGACGAGTATATCGCCATCAATTAGTAATGGGCCTAATTTAGTCCCAAAAGCTAGCTCGAGGGAGAAGGATTGCCACATGCACTTATATATTATTGAGGAATACCCCAAACAATCGATGTGGGACTTTAACAACCCCTTCACGTTCAAGATTGGACATCTGAAACGTGGAGTTTGTGGGATTAGACATCCACGGGTGGATCACAATCAGATAGTTGGGCCTACTCTGATACCATGTTAGTAATGGACATAATTTAGTCCCAAAAGCTAGTTCAAAGAAGAATGAATGCCACATACACTTATATATTATTGAGGAATACCTTAAACTATCGATGTGGGACTTTAACATCCGCCTCGATGATCTTATGGTGAAATGACAAGTCCTCTGGTTTTTTCCTCTCAAAGCTCTGTTTTCTCTATCTTTTCTTAGTTTAGAAACATAAAGGACAAG